GCGACAATTCCGTTCCTACTGCACCACTATTGCGAATAATGAGTTTTTGTTCCTAGCATCTAGTTCTAATCGTAAGCTCGAATAATGGAGGAGATTCCCGGATTAAAGTAATCCCAAAATCCCAATCCAAAAAATGCATCTTAGCCAGCATTTTAATTTTTCCATAAGAACTAGGGCAAAAGGCACAGTCATGCTCGTTTTGAATGGGAACTGCAATCGGATGATTTTTTTCTGCATTTTGTCACGGTATCTCTCTAAGCGAAGCTCGGCTTAAAACGATTCGAGCTCGAGTAGGTGAAAAAGATTTTTTTTACATGCGATGACGTTAGGGGCAAAGAAATCGGCTGCAATGCAGCTGTAAGGGCGAATTTCTTCTCGAATAAATCGAATTATGGCGCAAATGTGCTGTAACGACACCGAAGGGGATTTTCCTGGCAATTATTAATAGGTAATCGATATTTTAGGAAAAAATAGAATAGATAGGAAAACAAACAGCGAAATAATAGCATCCATTGCATGGGGAAGCTTGCACCCAAACGTAGATGGCAAGAGCGAAAGCGAAAAGAAGAAATGAGAAACCTAATTCGGTACAGTGAAGGGAATTAAAAGTAAAAGCTCCTTGGGAACGAATTACGGTTCCTTTTATTACCATGGACTTGCTCATGAGGCAAGTCACTGAAACAGTAAGCTGAACAAGAGGTTGAGACAGAGGGGAGTAGTAACTGGACTGGGTATTCCCAAAGCATCGTCCCCCAATCGGGCCGGCCGGCTGCGCTAAAGACGACAGGTTGTGGTCACGCCTCATCGACGTCCATTAGCGCAGCCTACTGCTACGGATCAAGTGCAAAACTTTACTGGTCTTCGATTTGTTATGGTGGAACAGTACACGTCAACAGCAGCTAATCGGCAAACACAGTTCATTCGGACCAGTTTCCCAAGACGCCGCTTTCCGTGCCCCGGGAAGTTGCTCTACCCCCTCACCTCTGCCCTCCACCCCTTTCACACCCCTCGTGGTACAAACATGGGCATTGTTTTTGGAGAATTATGACGTGGATATAAATTGGAAGAACCCTTGGCTCAGGGTAAGGGGAGGGGTAGGACCAGCTGTATTGGGCCTATGAGGATGACTTAGCTCACAAATAAAGGCACAGTTAACGATGATTTTGGCTTTTCTAGTTTTAGACGAGTAATGGAGGTGATAGTTCAGAAACAAAAACAAAGCAAGCGAAGAGAACGCGGATTGAAAAACAAAAAAATAGGGATTAGGAGAGAATGATACGAAAAAAGCTGCATGGGAGGGGTATTTGGGCGAGCTGTTCGAATGCGCGCGCCATTCCACACAGCTCGCTGCAATAAGCTGTCTGCGTGCAAGGTGTGGGTCCCGGTGCGAATTGTGCAACCTCTACAGCTTTTCCAAGTTTTAACAACTCATCAGTCTTGGGTGGCACGTCGGCTAAGCCGGTTTTGAAGCCCTTATCGCCCCCCAACTTGGCTTTTTTCGACCCGACCGCGAGCCTTACATTATCGTGGGGGTCACAGACACATTCGAGGAGGAAGTCGTGGAAACCGTTCTTCAACGTAAATTGTGCCTTTAAATAAGCACCCTAGGAGCAGTGGCTGGCGCTCAATACCACGCCATTTCGAGAAAGTTCAGAAAAAGCCCAAAGTTTCGAAAAATTGAAGGCTCCTTGTTTCTGCCCATTTTCAGCAATGAGTTCAGATATAGCGCAAGATAGATGCGTTTGAATGGAACTTCCATTCTTGCGAACAAAGTTGGCAGTTGGGTGGGGGACAAGGTACAGTAAGCTCATGTTTAAAGTTCGATAGCACTCCCTGGAGAGCTGTTAGACACGTCCTTCATTGGGCGTCACTGACGATAGTGGGCGGTCTTGGAACTTGGGCCCCAGGACATTGGCATTGGACACCTTATGTATAGTTCCACACAACCATGGCTCACATTAATTTATTTACTTATTATGCGTCCATCAACACATAACACACAACAACACAGGAAAATAACACAAATAAAACACAAAAACAATTAAATGCATCGTAAAAATATAAATAAAATAAAAAATGTATATAAATAAATATAAATATAAATATCTTCAAATATACAAACTCGTTTTCAGTGTCTGAAGGAGAAATTGAGCTGATACCCATCATTGATTGAAACGGTTTATTGCAAAACCGGATTGCAGGTTGATGTGGAAGAAGTGGAGAACTCTCGTACCTGCACCC